CGGAAAATGGTAATGAATACATAGTCACATTAATATGTGACCTTACAAAATATTTAGTAGCCATTCCAATAAAAACCAAATGCGCAAATAATGTCGCAAAAGCTATATTCGAAAATTTCATACTCAAGTTTGGTCCAATGAAGACGTTCATCTCGGACATGGGAACAGAGTATAAAAACCAGATTTTAACTGATTTATGCAAGTATTTGAAGATCAAGAATCTCTTCTCTACTGCATATCATCATCAAACATTAAGGACAATAGAACGAAGTCACCGAACTTTTAATGAATACATTCGTTCATACATCTCTGCAGACAAATCTGATTGGGATGTCTGGGTTCAATATTTCACTTATTGCTTCAACACGACACCATCAGCAACGCATGAGTATTGTCCATACGAACTAGTATTTGGCAGACTACCGAAACAGTTCATAGATTTAAACAAAACCAATTACATAGATCCTATTTATAATTTGGATGACTATTCTAAGGAAATAAAGTTTAGATTAGAAATAGCATACAAAAGAGCTAGAATTATGTTAGGAAAAGCCAAGGCTTATAGGAAATTAGCATATGACGAAAAAACAAAAAACTTTGAATTAAAAGTAAGAGATAAAGTACTTATAAGAAACGAAACAGAGCACAAATTAGACCCAGTATATTTAAGACCACATATAGTAGAGAAAATAAAAGATAATGACAACATTTTTATTAAAGATAGTAAAGATAAAAAACAAAAAGTAAATAAGAATAGATTACAAATTTTTAATTCTTAATAATCCAAAATTCTCTTTATGAATTCGAACTCAAAAAAAAAAAATAAAATAAAATAAAAATATATGACGGCCTGATCAACCGAATGAAAAAAAAAAAAATTTTACAATTAAACGAATTATAAATTTTTATACCTTTAATAATTTTGTATTTTTATACTCCAACAATCCAACATATTAAATTTCTTATTATATACAAAAAAAAATGTTTTTTCAATTTTTACAAAAAAAAAAAAACGAAAACCTCAATAATTAACTTCATCTAATAACTACACATTCATAATGTTACTTTATTTCTCTAAAAGGGGAGGTGTAGTGACTATATGCCTTACAGAATACCCTGTACTTAAATATAAAGTACGCAGCACTTTGTTGCATACAATAACAATAATATAGTAAACGAGCCCAGAGCCACATTTTGTATTGGCTCGGTCTCATATTACGCAGCGCGGTTCACTAGCCTCACTAGCTGACCGTTTATGCTTATGCTGCATATCCCACGCTCCGTCTGAGCGCATTCCGTGAGCAATATATATGCTCACTAATACAGGCATATGCGAGCTACTCACTCTCCCTCTCTTTGTAGCTGTTAACGAATAACAGCATAAGTATATATGTATATCCGTAGGCTAAGCGAACATTATAAAAACTGTATAAATTAATTTATTCAGAACCAATATACTAAACAGCACCGACGTGCTGGCTTTTTCATTTAAAGCCCACTGTTCTCATTTTCTAAAATAGAGAGGGGATAGTCTTGTCAACTCTACCACACGTAATCATACAAAATAGCATCCCATCCTAGGGCCAACATCAATTCTTCTAATACGTCTGCACAGGTAAAAAAAAAAGAGGCATATATGTATAACTAAAAAAAAAAAAAAAAACATAAAATATGGGTGGAAAACAATCAAAGGCAGCTGATAACACTGCCAATGTAGTTAACATGGTAAAAGTTGTAGACACCACTCCCCATGTGCAGTTAACAAACATACTGTTAACTATACTCATTGTAATAGCCTCAGTAAACATCCTTCTGAAGATTTATCTTCTGCATAAAAAATCACTGAGAAAGCGTTACATGAGTCGAGCCAACAACTTAGACAAGGTCTAAGCAGCTGCTTAAATATACATAAAATCAACAATTAGAACACCCTATTTTAGGACCCATTATTATTGTGCGTTTGCACAGATAAATTAAAAATGTCTATAAATGGAATGGACGCAAATCGTTATTCTTATTCTTTAGGGAACAACGTGAGGAGTTTAATAAATCTTTCAAGTGCCTTAACAAAAGCGCACCTGTCTGAAACGAGACAAAGTTAAAACACGTTAAAATTCTTGTAGATTCCAACAATATCTGCCGTCAACTTATATGTGACAATGAAACTAAACTAAAAGATTTGCATTTAACACAGACACCTGATGTATTAAGCATGTTAAGAGAAAACATTAGACGAATTTCGGAAAGGCATAATACAACAATATTCCTTCCAAACTCTATTAACACTTCACGGTCATTCGACGAGAAACAACTTTCATTGTCAGCTGATACTAAACCATCAGATTCTGAAATAAATACACAATCAATTGACAACACAGTGGCCCAAACAGCTATAAGTTTTCTTAAACTAGCCTCATCTCTCTTACCAGTTTGATGGATAGGCAGAAACTTACAAAGCTTTAATGATGCTTTGAGTCTTAAAGACTCACTAAAAGATCATGAAGCAACACCTGTCAGACAAAACTAAAAGGCCCTGCACGAAACTTGAACGTTTAATCTCTTCGAAGGGTTCGTCGCCGGTACGACATGAACGCTTTTATGCATAACCATTAGAACGAAAGTGATGTAGAAATAGGGGCGGCCACAGACAGCTTATAGGTACCGTCAAAGTAGGGTGGTTAGAGAACAGGGTCCTGCTACACCTTCAGTACTCTAATTTATTATTATCAGTTAGACAGTTATTAATTCGCTCAAGTGGAACATACTGATTCACCCTTTAGCCTTTTCAGAATAACTACAGACAGTGCACTTGTTACTTACACTTATGGTGTCAGTATAGTGTAATCAGGGAAAGAATCCACGCCCCATCCGACGAGCTTAAGTAGCAAAAGCAGGAAGTGCACGACCCCGAAATTCTCTATACGCCGGTAGATTTCCTAAGGCTAGGCGTCCAGGAGCCATCATATGTCTATATCCACTCCGAGGATTGATTATATAACAATAATTAGCGCATTGTACGTAAAACAATGTATTTATTTCACACATTATCATAATCAAACTTTGTATAATAAATCAAAAATAATAACATGACTTTTTCATACCCATCGTATGCCTATGGTATGTCTAGTCCGATAATTAACTAAGTAACTTTAAAGAAAACTATGTACCGTGGTAGTAAGCCCCTACGAAAGTACATATCACGTTAAAAAATATTAAACTTCATTGTCTGTCGTAGTATAGAACAATCTTTTGAAAAAATAGGTAGACAGGTTTTTTTTGGATAAAGGATACTTTAATATTGCCCACTGTTCAAATTGTGCGTAGAAAAGAGGTGATTGGCCGGTGTTACGCTTTGTTTAGCTCTTTATGTTGCTTAAACTGTCGATCATTCCTATACATTTTGGCTGGCAGTTTTCTCCAGAGGCCTCAATCGGATTTAAGCTTGGAATTAGTTTGTCTGGAGAATAAGAAGGCTTTATAGAGCGTGCAGTGAGAATTGTGGCGTTGTTCTGTTGAAATATTCAAACTTATAAGTTTATCCTCCAACATTGAAATATAAATATCTAAAATAATTCTAGTTGGGTTGTAACATATTCGGACTTTCCTGCGTACCCAAAAGCAGTCTATTCATTTGTTGATCAGCCATTCTAGATTCGCTTATGTCGCGTTTTAAGTCGCGCCAAAATTTATGGCAAGTATCTGGGCCATCCAAAATTAACTTTTCTTTTTGTATAGATCCATCGAATCTTTATGTGGCGTGGCGATTAGTATTGGTACAGGCTCCCGCAAGGTATATTTAAGTTTGTTATTTTCCACTAAAATTTGGTTAGCTCTCCTTGCGGTTAATTTAATTATGATATGCATAAGTGGGATCTTATTTCGTTACACGAAATTTCTTATTGATCAGCAAGACGTCGAATTTCCCGTTTGCATCGGTTACTATGGCCCCGTTTGATTTTTTCATTTTGGGATTTTTCGGATATTCGATAAAGTCTATAAGCAATTTCGATTATATTTTTAACATTTCAATTCCCTTTATTCGGCTCTGCTATTTGGGTTTTAATTTGTTATTTTATATCCATTGAGAAGTGATAAAAAAGGGCATACTGGTTTTGCATAAGTATATCCAGGTAAATGGCAAAAGGAGGCATTTCCGACTCCAGGACAAGCTGAGGAGATTTAGCCATACCAATATTTATGATCGCGTTGTTTTCGGAAACTATAAGCTAGACTCTTGTATATAATCTCCTATAGCATGCGCAAAATAAGCTTTTGCATTTTTATTGATGTCTCGTTCCATTTCCAAAATATCAATACGAACCTATTTGGAGAATTGGTTAGTGGTTAAGTGGTTAAGAATATCTTAAAAACTGTAACAGATATGTGTAAAAAATTTGGTGTGTGGGCTCTCGTACAGTATACACAGATTAAAAATATTTTGCTTTTTGGATAGCTAGTACATTGGATTTGGTATTTACATACTTTTGTATGCAATATTTATGCCCTTAAAATTTCATAAAGAGCGAGCAACGAACATATTGTCACTCAGGAGGAAAAACATACCTGCCGCTGCGTAAGGTGCGAAGTTGACCGTTTGTGTGTTGTACATATATGCATCTAACTATATGAACCTGCATATGCATTCTGAATTTCATTTTGATTTGAGGAATTCGAAGCACTCTGATAAAAACCAAAATATTGTATTGACTGATGTAAAAACCAATAAAACGAATAGTTTCTTTTTCCCCACTTCTATTTCTTTTAGCATCATTAGTAATAATAGCAATTAAAGGAACCAAAATGTTAACAAATATTATCTGATTTTTTGTGCAGAGTTGCAAGATTAAGACATGTTCACTTTGATGAGTTTGCCAACTTGGAAAATTGCAAATAAACACTTCAAATAGGAGCTTTTGAACGTTCTATAAAAAATAAATATTTTCCTAAAAAAATAAAATAAATTATTTAATGTTTATTGTATAGTACATTTATTTTATATTTGTTAATTATTTACATACGATTTGAAGTGTGCGCTAAAATAAAGGTCAATATATATATATATAATTTTAATTACTTAGTTAACGGTTTAGCCGGCTTGAGGTCTGGATGTAGTGTATATTAATAATTTAATATTCATATTCATGTATATGTTATATATATCATAGCATATCATAAATTCAAAATCCGGTATGGGTATCCTTTTAAATCTGAAAACATACTTTTTAATTACAAACTGAGAAAATATTGTATAAATAGAATAATAAATGTACATTAAAAGAAATAACATATAATCTAATTTATATATCATGACTGACTGATTGGGGATCAACGCGCAGCCCAAACCGTACGAGCTGTGAAGCTGAATTCTTGTAGTAAATTTGTGAAAATGCATTTTATGGAAAACGTTGAAAGTGGGAACAACACAAAAATTAGCGAACAAGAGGTTCTAGTCGGGAGCTCCCGATTAGGGGATACCCTGAACCCTCTTAGTTCAACACCAAATAAATTAATAAAAAAAAGTTTCCTTGGCAGGGCTCGAACTCGCAACTGACCGCATTACTTGCTGTCAACTCCACTCAACAGCCACACCAGCAAAAAAAAAAATACTTTCCCCGGTAGGGCTCGAACTCGCGACATACCGCACCACTTGCTATGCCTCTACTCAGCAGCCACACCTGTAAGTAAGTACTTATGATAAAAAAAGGAGCTAAAATAACATTACAAAAAAAAGATGCAATTACCATGCCATAGAATGCGAAGCAGACGCGCATGAATGTGTGTGTGTACAGGTATACAGAAATTCTTAAAGCTGCTGCCCCATTCAATTACGCAGTTGCATATAACTTTGGTTTTTCTTAACCGATCTTTATGAAATTTTCTACAGTATATCTTATTGTACCATAGAATATTTGTATATTCTGAAAAAGTCAACTGCATTTAAATTGTGGTTTAAATTGGTTGGCAATAAAAGTTGGGTTATTAACTTGATTTATAGCTCTGGGGTGGTAGCGGGAAGGTGGCTATAGGTATGTAATGAAAGATACTTGAAATATCTATAATTTTCTAGAAGCAACATATCATGTTTGGTGGCTCTAGCTCTTATTATTTACTCAATTTGCTAAAAAAAACAGGATGTTGATATCGATTTTTATCGATTGCTTGGAAACGGAGTAAGTTATCGATTATCGGAAACAAACTCGATCTGCGCGAGAACTAGGAGCATCTACATCTAAAATTTCTCTAGCTCTTATAGGTTCTGAGATCCTTGCGTCCATACATACGGACGGACGGACGGACAGACAGACGGACATGGCTAGATCGACTCGGCTATTGATGTTGATCAAGAATATATATGCTTTATGGGGTCGGAGATGCTTCTTTCTGCCTGTTACATACATTTGTATTTTGCACAAATACAATATACCCTTATACCCATTTGTAATGGGTTCAGGGTATAAAAAAAAAAACAAAAATTAACGTTCTTGCTCTTTGAGAGCGAGACAGTGTATTTTATGATTTCGGATTTGGATTGTTTGCAAATCACAAAATTCCAATATATGTTTTATAAAAAAGTTCTCATTTGATCGTTTCTATGGCAGCTATATGATAAAGTAGTCTGATGTTAATATGATTTTGAATACAGGAAAATTATAAATGTCGAGTCTGATCAAGATATCATGAAAAACACAAAAGTTTTCCGTACAGTAACCTTATTTTCAACCGATCGTTCTTAGGACAGCAATATGATTAGTGGTCCGATGTTAAGATTTTGCACATTTATTAAAAGTGTCTGGCTTCGCAGTCACAAGAGCTTGAACGACCTCGCGACAGATAACGTTGATCTGCGAAGCAACTGCTATGCTCACATATCTCTTATAATGATTAGATTGATCTTCCACTTGCATTGCACTTGCATTGTTCTGACATCAAAACAAATAACTTTAACACTTTACTGCAACTGTTCAGGTTCGCTTGCCTAGTATGACTGTTATAAATTTATAAAATATCATAGACTAAATCAAGTCTGCCTGCTTCCCGTTAAGATATATTGATAAACAAAATGTTTTTCATACAAGAGCCTAACTTTCGACAGATCGTTCGTTCCTATGGCAGCTATATGATATAGTCGTCCGATCCTATCGATTCCGACAAATGTACTGCCTGCAACAGAAAGACGAACCTTTGGAAAGTTTTTAAGACAATAGCAATAGCTTCAGAACAGACAGACTAACTCGGTGATGCTGATTCTGAATATACATTATGGGCTCGGAGATATTCCCTCTATACGTAACATCTTTCATGAAAAAAATATAATACGCTCTACAGGCTTATAAAAAGTGAATATTTCATAAATAAATTTGTGTATACTATATGAGGACCTACATACAAAATATGAGTATCTAGCTCTTAAGTTTTTTTGGAATTATGCTACTACGCATACAATAAATAGAGTCGCCATTTTGACAAATAAATGGTTGTCAGTTGTTCTGTCCATTTTGTTATTCCTGGCGATACTCAGGCTCGATAACCGAAGGATCAGGAACAATCCGTATCGCGTCTCGTGCATAACGCCGTTGCGGTACTGTTATTACGTATGTTAGTTTTTTTTTAATTTCTCGCAGCCCAAAGACATATGTGAATGCATGTGCTGCGAGTGCCTCGCTCATTCTAGTTCCGAATTTTCATTCTACGCCCAGGCAGGCTCCGTGGGAAGAATCTGATTTTTTCACTAAATAAAAACTTTAAAAACATGGAAAAATGTATATTTTTTTTTTATATTTTTGTTGTCTACGGTGGACCTACTTTGCTTAGTTAAAACAAATAAGGAGTTCTAGTCGGGAGCTCCCGACTAGGGATACCCTGTATCCTGTTATTCCAACACTAAATGAAGTTCGCGCAATGCGTTCGTTTGAAGTAATAAAGTTATATTAAAAAAAAGTTCTTTGGCAGGGTTCAACCTCGCAACTGACCGCATTACTTGCTGACGACAACAACAGCCACATCAGCCATAAAAAAAAAAACAGTTTCCCGCGTAGGGCTCGAACTCGCGTCCGCACCACTTGCTATGCGTCGACTTGCAATAATTGTGAATTATTGAGAAGAAAAATAAACGAAATAAAATAGCAGCACAGAAAACAATTGTTATTGCAATGCTGAATGCATGAATGTGTCTTTGTACATGTATATAGAAATTCTTGAGGTATTCGCTAGCTGTCCCATCCAATTGCGCAGTTACATATAACTTTGTTTTTTTCTTAACTGATCTTAATTAAATTTTCTACAGTATATCTTATTGTACCATAGAATATTTGTGTATTCTCAAAAAATCAATTGCATTAAAATTGTGTCTTATATTGGTGGGCAGCATAAACTGGTTTATTAACTTGATTTATAGTTATGAGGTAATAGCGGAAAGGTAGAGATAGCTATAAAATGAAATATACTCGATATACATAGATACTCGTCTAGAAGCAACATATCACATTGGTGACTCTAGCTCTTATTATTTACCAACTTTGCTCAAAAAACAGGATTTTGTTATCTATTTTTATCGATTACTTGGAAATAGGACAAGTTATCGAATATCGGGAACAAACTCGATCTTCGCAGGCACTAGGAGGACATGCAGCTAAAATTTCAGTCTCTAGCTCTTATAGGTTCTGATATCATTGCGTTCATACATACGGTTGGACGGATGGACGAACGGTCGGACGGACGGTCGGACGGACGGGCGGATGGACGGACGCATGAACGGACAGACGGACGGACGCATGAACGGACAGACGGACAGACAGACGGACGGCCGGATGGACGGCCGGACGGATGGACAGACGGACGGACGGCCGAACGGCCGGACGGATGGACAGACGGACGGACGGCCGAACGGCCGGACAGACGGCGGAACGGCCGGACATGGCTAGATCGACTCAGCTATTGATGATGATCAAGAATATATATATACTTTATGGGGTCGGAGATGCTTCCTCCTGTTACATACATTTGCACAAATATATAATACCCTTTTTACCCATTTTCAACGGGTTCAAGGTATAAAATAAACGTAAAATTTTTTCTATAGCAAGAGTAATTAAATTAACTATGATTGGCGGATCTTGTTGTTTAGATTTCTCTGCTTGACAATCTGCTTCATTTCCTCACGTTGCCCTTCGCCCTAACAGCAAATGTTGTAAAATGTATCGATATCGCGTTACAGCACCAGATAATTTTTCCAATGTGGCAGAACTCTTCAGAACGAGATATCAAGATTTGTATGCTGGATACAGTAACATATGACACAAAGCCTGTATAATTTCTTGCTTTCCGCGTTATGCATTAGTTTTCTATGGATGAGGTAAACGCTCTCCCAATCGGATGACACAATTCATGAGACAACGTTGGCTGAAATATTACCAATATTGTAGCGTCATGCTCCATACGTGCATACGTATGTAAGTCATTTCTCATGATTTCAGTGCCGCTATGTGTAGCATCGGTACGAAAAAAGCCGACCGAGCGACAGCAACTATTAACCTTACGGCGGCCGCTAGAAGGCTCGTCCTCCGGACTACCGGCTGTTTTAGGTACCACAGCTAATATTGTTCCTACTGCCCCACCTGTGGTGCCTAAGCCTTTAGTGGTTGTTCCACCGAATTGACATAATTTTGTTTCTAAAAGTTAAAGAATACAAAGCCAAAATTCCAAATCGGACTCCGATTTTATTACCACCTCTACTAGTGGCGCCTAAACGTTACTTGTTGCGTCTAAATTTAAATTCATCCCTCGAGTTGCTGTTGTAAGGTTGATTTTCAATAGCTAATTGATCTTATTCTGCAATTCGATTGCTCTCAATTGTACAGCCTTTGATGTTGCCATACACAGCATTTTTAGAATTAGAATCCACAATTTTAAGAAATCGGGAAATCACTCTGATTTTCCCTCTACGCAGTTCCCAGTCTCTCTATAAGACGGGGAGTAAATCTGATGTCGAAAACGATAGAGGTATTTCCAAATTATTCGCTATCACTAAAGAGAATCGTAACATCTCAACTGCAATATTTATGTAGCTATATTATTTCACCATCCCAGCATAGATTCGTGAAGCGTAGATCTCCAACCACTAACATTCTTCGATTAACTTCCCTAATAATTGACGGTTTTAAAAAAAGAATACAGACAGAAATTATGCCTTGTCGGCTTCCCAGTCAAT